TAGTGTTGTTGTTTGGGGATAAGCCAGGAATATAGGACTGAATCTTTCTCCCAAGTATACTTTTATGCTAATCCCCACCTCCTTTGTTTCTATTTATATGTACTAAGAATTATGCCTAAATCTTAAAAAATAGTGTTCGCGCTCAATTCTGAAATTGTTATTCATTGTCCTGCATGTCCTCTGTTGTAGTATAATGTGAAATAATTAATGCATAGAGCACCAGAATGTTGTTTTTTTTAAATTTTATTTTATTATGTCATGTTAATCACCATACATTACATCATTAGTTTTTGATGTAGTGTTCCATGATTCATTGTTTGCGTATAACACCCAGTGCTCCATTCAATACGTGCCCTTTTTAATACCCATCACCAGAATGTTGTTTTAAAAACAAAAACATGGACAGGATGGTTTCTGCTCAAGAGGTCCTGCCTTTGCGTCCTCGCCCCTCCACAGTTACTATGACTTAACCAAGCTGGGTTGTCTTCTGGCCTCAGAGTATCCCTTGTCAGAGCCTTGGGCCCCTGGGCCTCTTCACTCAGGACTTGGTGGACCATATCACACCCTCCTACACAGTGGCCACTGGCTTGCCTGGCTGATTCATTTGGGAGAGTCCTTGTAGCCATGGTTTTGTGTAAGTCTAAAGGCATCATGGATGGTTGGGCTCAACTACTCTGGTTCCTACAAACTTTCCCCTTTGGGATGGCATCTCTCTCCATCTTGATTGCTTATAGACCAAAACGTCAAAAACACACTTAAAGAAGATATCCAAAAACTTTCTCTACACTTTTGACATTCAACTTCACTGTTTTGGGGGCGGGGCGGGGATGGTGGATGCTGGGGGAGTTTACTTGATCTTTCTACTTTCCAAAAATTGAAGACCCTCTAATTATTCATTATTCTTTCATACGCTCTTGTTGAGCTTGCCTAGATAATAGGAAAGGATTTAAGCTTCCCAATCCTGCAGACTAACTTATTTGGCAGAGGGCTTCCACCTACCTTCTTGAGGCCCTTGGCAGTGTTGGTGCTCTTTCTATCATGTGGATTAAACCGTGTACTAAAACTGCTTGTTGGTGTAACTTTGCTCCCACTTTCTGACTAAAACGCCATACCCTTACCACCCCATCTTAGCTCTCCTTTCCCCAAATTTTTTCCACCTTTCTGAACCAAGACAGAGTGACATTTCCACGACACATCAATTCCACACACATTAGGCACCTGTGAGGCAGGATCTTATCCTCTCAAACTTCCATTTCTCACACACCAAGAAAGATAAGGAAGATAAGCAAGTGCCTGGAATGGGCCAGGCTAAGCAGTAACCTAGAGGCACAGAGGACATGCTGAGTACCAAGAGGAGAGGATCGGGAATGCCTTCCCTGATCGTGCCAGCCAGAAAGCCATCCTTCCCTCCAAGTGGCCCCGAGGACACAGCACTCCATGGTGTGCAGGGGTCTGATGGCCACTGCTAGATGGCTCCTTCTGGTCAGGATCACATCTTAGCTAGATTTTTTTCTCAGCAGCTGTCCCTTTGCCTGGCACACAGGTGTTCTATCAGTGTTTTCTGAACCATGGATGGAAACTCTGATTTAACTTTCCACTTGTTCAGTATCATTCCAGTTGTTATCTGAAAACTGCAGAACCCGCTCAGTGTATTCTCTTCTCAAAGAAAAGCACAGGACTGCCCTGGTGGTGCCCCCTTTCTGTGGGTTCCCCAGTAGGAAACCTGTATCTTTTTCACACTTGCCAATTTTTAGTCACTTTCTCCAGACTCTGTATCCTCACCCTCCAGCTCCAGCTTACTCAAACAGACATTCCTGAGCTAGAGATTCTAACTGGAAGCTCGTTACTACCTCTCCCACTCACCTGGTTAGACCTTTTTACTGCTGACTGATCAGGGCAGGAGTGTCACTGACTCTGTCCCCTGACCTTGGCAGAATGTCACCCGGGAGCCATTAGGCTTCCTTTCCTGGAGGACCACCTGTCTGTTCTCTAGGGACTAGACCTTATTCCCTTCTGTGATGCAGTAGGGCATGTTCTCTGTTTTAAGGAAATATCTATGAGAGACAGCTCCCTCCCCCCAAAGAAGCCCCAAGTAAAAGTACAACCCTGAAAGATTATGGGCTATGAATTCTTCCTGGGAGATATCACTTTCTACAACTAAATCTCAGTTTTTCCTGTTTCTCTTGTGATGAAGGGGTTGCCTTTTGGTAAGGAAAAGGATTTTTATAGAGTTAGACATCATGGAAATCCAACCCAGATTTTTTAAAAGCATGGTCCTCTCAAAAAAGAAATTGTAATGCGATAATCTTAACGTGACAACAACAATATGGCAGATTATTGAATGAAATGGATTAACTCGAATAAATGCTGTGCAATGTCTTCTCTTAAAAATAAAAATAAAAAATAAAAACATGAATTTAGTTGGCAAAATATTCCAAAATTTAATTTTCTTCATTTTCATCTAAACTAAAACTTTAAAGAGCAAAAATTCAAATTAAAGCATAAATGAAGTGCCAAGGTATGGTTCACACTTCATATGGGTGCTCTTGTCCCACATTAGTTGCCCTCTAGGAGAATGAGTCCCCATTACAGGTTGAGGAAAGACTTATTTCAATTAGTTAAATAGAGTTCCTTACTTCTATAGCCAATGCATTTCTTTTCAAAGTGGGTTCCATGCCTAGCATAGAGTGCAGTGCAGGACTTGAACTCACAACCCTGAGATCAAGCCCTGAGCTGAGATCAAGAGTTGGACGCTTAACTGACTAAACCACCCAGGAGCCCCTAGCCAATGCATTTTTAAGTGGAATTTACAGTGTTATTCTGTATTTTTCTTTTGGCATTCTTGCCTCTAGTTTTTCAGAGAAAACATGGGAGTTTTTCTTTCTTCTTAAGTTTTCTCATAATCAGGCAACAGTAGCAACAGGGGACCCCCTTTGAACAAGCGTGAATGGAACTTTTTGCTGAAAATAGAAGAAAAGCTTCTATCCACTTCCACTGTTCCTGCCTTGCCTGTAGATGCTCGGTGATAGGAGTTTTCCTAGTTATTGGTGGCGTTTAACAGAAGAATTTCCCTCCCTTCTTTTTTTCATAAAGAGTTACGAAAGCAGTCGTTTCTGTAAGTAGGGGTGGTCACGTTGTGCTGTTTGGGGCAAATGGGGAGGAACCGTTCATCCCGTTAGTTTTGACAGAGCTCATACTGCGTGCATAGTACTTTAGGTGTGCTCCGTAGTAAGCACCACAAAGTAGGCATAAAAGGCATACGAAAGCAAAAGGTATGTGAAATGATACTTTAAAAAAATACAGAGCAGAGAGCACAGTATTTGAAAGTCCACAAAACAATGCGAACTGAACCCGTAAGTACAGTGCGTGACCTCACTGTCAGCAAGACTGGTGATGTTTTTGTCCTGCTTTTGATGGAGAGGGCAAAAGAAAAAATGGCATGGCAGATGTGAGGAATAACTTACTCTACTTAGGAGTATTCCTTGATTGCTTCTTATCCTCATCTCCCCCAACCCCCCATCCATATTCAGTTCATTGACAGGTGGTGTCCATTTTGTCTAAAAATTCAGCTAAGATCCTCCTTGTGTCTTCAGCTCGTTGCCACCTCCCTGGTCCGAGTCATCCTCATCTCTAGTCAGGATGTCAGCAACGGTTACCAAACTGGTCTCCCGGTTTCCTCGTTTGCTTCTCTTGAGTCTCTTCTCTATAAAGAAGCCAAAAAGAACTCTTGAAAATATGCATCAAATCATGTGATTCCCAATTTAATATTCCTTAGTGCTTTCCCCTGTTTTTTGGCTAAAATCTGAATTCACAGAGTGGTCTGTGCTCTCTCTAGCTCCTGTCACCCTCACGTGTGAGTGGGATCTCAACTTTGAGGTCCCACCCCAATAACAGTTCTTCAAGGAATCACCATCCCTGCCCCCCTCCCTAAAGTGGTCTCCCCCAGTTTGTTTTCTGTCATATCCCCATTTGTCATGACCATCTTATTTTTTAAAATATTATTATAATTATTATGATTGTTATTGTTAGTTGTAGTAGTAGGAGTTGCTGATCATTGGCTGTCTTCCCAGCTAGGATGTGTACTTCATGAAGTCAGGGCTCACCCGCCTTTTTCCAGGAGTAGCCCCCATGCCAGGCACATAGTCGGCACTCGGTAAATATTTTGAAAGTGAAAGAGCAAACTGTACAAAGAGTAAAATAATGAAATCCCTCTGCCTGGATCAGGGTTGTATTGAATGTCAATGTGAAGCTGGAGATTAGGAGGAAGCTAGAGAATTCAAGGAAGACCTTCAATGATGAACAGGGAATTCATACTTGATAAGATAAGTGATACATTGGCCAAAGCATGGCACTTGTTTTATTTTTTGAGACTGATTATTTAAGCTGTTGTGCCCCAGCTGTATTGTATGAGGGAGAGGAATTACAAGCTTTGTCTTAGGGGATGATTGCACCAGCCCAGAAAATGTGACAAGGACTTGGATAGGGAGATGCTGGGGAAAACAAGGGAGAAGAGGTCGATTCAGGATTCCACAGTTTGGGATTTTGTGGTAACAATACACTGGAGCGGTCTAAATAGACAATATTATGCTTTCTTTATTATGTGACCATAAACTACCAGCCAAAAAAAATCTCACATTGTTTAAAAAAATGTTCTCAGATAAACTTGATAGAAGCTTTCAACTACACCCCAACTCCCTCTTGCATGAAGCACAATAGTGACAAGCTGATGTCAGGATGGGTTTAGGTGAAGAGAAGAAATGAGAGCAAACTTTTCCACTGCCATTGATTTAATAAGCAAGATGATAATGTACATGAAAAGTGCCCGGTGCGGTTAAACTTTCAACCAAATAATAAAAAATAGTGCTGATATTTACATTTTGTGAATCTACCTCACAGGGTTTTTTCCTGCCAAATTACCATCTGAAAGGAAATGATCTAAAACTGTTTTCTTATGATGCTACATTTTTTTAAAACATTCTTTTTCTTTTCTTTGTTTAAAGCAATTGAACAAGATGAAGAAAACCGTGACAAACACGTCATTGTGACAGAAGCTGGAGGTGTTCCAGATTCTCAGGTATGATCAGTTCTGTGCCCATCTCTCATTACACCTGTCTTCTGCACTGAGAGTGGTGACATAAGGCAGGTGTCTGCAGATGATACAGGTTTGATCTTCTGTGTTCTGTAAAGAGTGGTATTACTGGGAATAAAGTACTTATTTTTAATAGGGAGGCATTTCACAAGAAGGACCCTAAATTGTTAATTATATTTCTAATTTGATTCACGAGGGAGGGACAGATGGTCAGACATCCTCCACTTCCCAGAGAAAGCAAGGAAAGTAAGTGAAGAACCAGGAGAGACCACCTGAGAGCAGACCACCCCCTGGAGATGGCAGAGAAGAATGAGCTGGCTGCCAGCCGGACAGCTGGGGCTGGGCCACACAGATGAGTGTGATGCCTCACCTGCCAGAGATTCTCTGCCAACGCCCAGTATCTAACTCACAGCATGGACATGCTTTTAGCAGCATCTGACCTGCAGATGCTTACCTAGAGAGCAGAGTAGGAGCTTGCCATGCTCTGTGGTATTTCATATTATTGCAATCTTCACTCCAAGCATATTGTAAGCAAGTAGAAATTAGTTTCTCATTCCTTCCCCATCCATATGGGGAAAATACCCTGGGGTTGTTGAAAAATTTGGGTATGTAAAGGGTTAAGATGGAGAGACTGGGTCTCCTATATATGTTTCCCACCTGCCCAGAAGCCCTAATTCTCACCTCATATGTTAGCTCCTTTCTTCCTTTTCTCCCTAAAAATATCTTTTCTGCCTAAGAAACTCCCTGTTTTAATGCAGTGACGTGTGGGTGGCGTGGAGCGAGCCTGTAGACTTGAGTTTGCCTCCCAGCCCTTCTTCTCTATAGCCTGTGTCTTTACACAAGCTCTTTAGCGTCTAAACCTGTGAGTTCCTGCAGGCTAGCATCAGTGTCTTCGTCACCATAGTGCCCCTGCCTGCAAGGTCCCTGCAAGTGACTGGCATGCAGGGTTTTCATCTCTGTAAAGTAGAGATCTTATAAAGTTGTCTGGAGGTTGAAATGAAACAATGCAGAAAATGCCTGCACGTAAGAGTTTCAGTAATTGTTAGGCAGCGTGCATGAGGTCCAGAGTGCAGCCTCCAGGGCCAGACGGCCTTGGCTCTCCTCCTGGCTCTGCCGCTGTAACCTGGGTGACTTATTCTCTCCTGGCCTCAGAGCCCTTTTCTGGGATAGTATTGAGAGTTCACTTGGGCAGCCCTTTGGATGCAGTAGGCACTTGCCTAAGCTCCTAGTTTTCTTAACTCCACAACAAACCCTATATTTACCGCCACTTTACAGATGAGCTGGTAAGTGCTGGGGCCAGGAATCAAACCAAGGCAGTCCGGCTCTGACACCCTGGCTTTTAACACCTGTCCTAAACTGCCTTTCTAACATCTGTGAATTGGGGATCATTGTGGGGTTGTTTTGAGGATTAGATAAATATATGGGAAACAGAACAGTGCCCAGCACATAGTAAGTAGTCAAAGAAGTTCATTTCTATGAGTTATTACCGTGATCATGATCATCTATGACATTGCTTTTCGGTTTGAATGTTTAAGGTGTCTAACATGGCTCCGTTGCAATATTACTCTCTGCCTACCATTAGGGTATCTTCACATACATGGACTTCTAGACTCATTTATTACTCTTTATATAGGACTAAAGGATTAAAGAATTTTTTATCAAAATGTGTAGAATTTGGGAGGGTGCCTGGGTGGCTCAGTTGGTTGAGCATCCGACTCTTGATTTGGGCTCAGGTCATGATCCCAGGATCGTAGGATTGAGCCCTGAGTCGGGCTCTGCACTCAACGTGGAGTTGGCTTGGGATTCTTTCTCCCTCTCCCTCTGCCTCTCCCCCAGCTCTCTCTCAAATAAATAAATAAATATTTTAAATTAAAAAAAGTATAGAATTTTTGGGGTGCCTGGGTGGCTTAGTTGGTTAAGCGTCCAGTTCTTGGTTTTGGCTCAGGTCATGATCTCAGGGTCCTTGAATTGAGCCCCACGTCAGGCTCCGTGCTCAGTGGGGAGTCTGCTTGAGATTCAATCTGCCTGTGCCCCTCCACCTTATGCTTGTGCACCCGCTCTCTCTCAAATAAATAAATATTTTAAATGAAAAAAAAAGTGTAGAATTTTTGCCAGGTTCTAGTTTAGGGCTCTTAATGTGATCTTCAATGAGTAATTTATAATGTACTGAACTTTGGAAATTCTTCCTTTGCTTCAGGTGTCCATTGACCCCTGGATTCAGTAATTATTTTCATGTCTCCTGTCCTCCATTTGTAGCAATCATTTTATTTATTTATTTATTTATTTTTAAGATTTTATTTATTTATTTGACAGAGGGAGAGAAACAGTGAGAGAGGGAACACAAGCAGGGGGGGTGGGAGAGCAGGGAGCCCGATGCGGGGCTCGATCCCAGGACCCTGGGATCATGACCTGTGCCGAAGGCAGACACTTAACAACTGAGCCACCCAGGCGCCCCTCAATCATTTTAACATTAAGTGATGGTAACTGTTAATTGTATAAAGTAATTGCCAAATATTTCATGATTTTCAGTAGCCAAAATGTGACTTCTTTTTTTTAACATATAGAAGAAAGCTGTTATTTAAGGCTGTGCTAGTGATCATAGAAAACAGATGCTCATTTAAAATGCTTTATGTTGGAATTTACTAGAATTTGCTTTTTTTTTTTTCTTTATTATTTGTCAACTTTACTGTTCTGCTTAGCGGTGTGGTCAGTGATGTTTACAGACCTGAGATGTAATTTCAGGTCCAAATAAGACAAAATATTGGTATCCTCCCTACTCTAGTATGAAAGTTCAAGGAATCAAGTATTGGAAATAAGTGAACCATAAGCGATGTAAATGTATGGCGATGTATTTTTTTAGTTTTCTCAGAAGAGAGAATTATGTACATAAAATAGATTAAGAAAATATTTGAGGGACAGCAATTATAAATTCCATGTAGCTATGGCTTCTGCCGGCTTCCCTCCTCCCACTCTGCTCTGGCAGGATTTAGTTTCATACAGTGTTTGTATAGGATGGGTCTGTCCAATCCAAATGGTGCTTTAACACATGCAGTTCCAGAAAGGAGGGGGGTCAGAGAAATGAACCTTCCTGAGGTTGATGCCTTACCTGTACATGGAAGGGCCAGGAGTCACTGGATGACTCTCTGTGATGCCCCAGCACGGTGTCTGAGGCCTGTCCTAGTGATGCCCTGGGCATGAGTAAATCTGCCTGACACTCCCCATCACATGCACTTTTCACTGTGGGCGCCACGTGGCCCTTTCCCTCAAGGAAAGGGTATATTTTTCTAGCCCAACCAGGAGGAAATTTTTCATAATTTTCTTTCCCTCTCTGAAGAAATTTGAGAAAATGAATACTTGCTGCCCTACAAAATAAAATGGTTCTTTATTATTATTATTATCAATTTATAATTTATTATATTTAATATATTATAAATATTATGATTATATAATTGCCATATGATATATTCTATTATATATTACATTTTATATTATATTATTAATATATGGTATATTTTAACATATTATATTTTATGTACTTGTTATTAATATTACACATAATTTTTTATTATTATTATTTAGTGTGAATTATCTTCTGAATTTTCCTAGAAGGGATTCTTAATATTTGTTGTTTAGAACATACGTGCATACAGTTGAGTCATGTAATATATCTTCCCATCCCATCAGTCTTTCATCATTTGAGTTTTCTGTTTAAAGTAGGAAAAAAATTTATGAATTTCTGTGTGAGATTGAATTGTGAAAGAAATGACTCTGTTATGTAGTAATGAATAAGAATTTATCACCGTGCATTTGTATTAAGTAGCATTCTGTTACTGCAAAAGTGCTTACTTGAAAAGTGGGCTCTTTCATCCTGGTTTTCCTTCTATTTTGCATGATGTTTTATCTAAGTGTTTGAGAGAAAATGATTCTTTAAGTGAAGATAATGCAGACACTGTTTTTATACATAAAATGTGCTCTTTCACCTTTCATCATGAAGGTTTATTCATATATCATCCTTGTAGCCTTTCCTAAGGGACTCCTGTCCAAGCACCATTTTACCACTAAAAGAATGGGCCCAACATTTTTATGACTCCGTTTATAAAGGAAACAGACTTTAATTTACATTCATAACATTTCTCTCCTCAGACACTGAAAATCATATGAATAGCTTTAATTACACATTACAGAGGTTTTTCTTTTTTTCTTTTTTTCGAAGCAGACCTTGAAATAAGGCTCTTAAATAACTCTTCTGACAGTTCCAGATTAACCTTTTATTTTTTTTCTGGCTTCGCAATGTTAGGTAAACTGTTTATAATTAATTTCGTATAGGCAAATTAAGTAGTTCAAGAATGTGAAAGTCTAGATCAAGGGCTGTTACTTATCTTGCTTCTCCTGCCATAACAAAGCTCCCAAAATATATTAATAAATTCATGGGTGTTTCAAATTAAATCACTAAGTTACAGAGCTGTGAAAGAGACCCCCAGAGAAATCTGGCTGAGCGTGGTACTTTCACAGAGGACTGTCTTAGAAACTATCTAGGATGTATGGGAATCTTTCTGGGCTTCAAGTTCTCAGGGAATGAAGAAGCATTCACAACCCTCCTTGAAGGCCTTTTTTTTTTTTAAAGATTTTATTTATTCATGAGAGACAGAGAGAGAGGCAGGCTCTCCGCGGAGCAGGGAGCCCGATGCGGGACTCGATCCCAGGACACTGGGATCATGACCTGAGCCGAAGGCAGATGCTTAACCAACTGAGCCACCCAGGCATCCCCTCGAAGGCCTTTTTTTGATAGTTGTTATGTAAAGAGTGCTGTAGAATTGATTATCTTACAAAAATGCATCTAGAAATTATGCAGAAACCAGAAAATCAAGACAGCAATATTCCTTTTTTAATTATAAGATGCTTTAATTATAAATACGAAATAATTAAGTTGCTCTGAAACCCATTTTTAAAAGTAATAGCATTTTGTGTTTAAAGTACATAATTTG